AGGTATATATATATATATATATATATATATATATATATATATATATATATGTGTGTATATATATATATATATATATATATATATATATATATATATATATATATATATATATATATATATATATATATATATATATATGTATTGCAGAATTTGTATAGCGCCTCTTATGAGTTAACTTCAGAAGTGCTCTCTACTTTCTTCGCAGTTGAATGTTGAAAAAATGAGTCTTTAGCCGTTTTTTGAATTCATTTCGATCCTTGATGTTGAAACTCTTTAGATCAGCAGGCAACGCATTCCAAATCTGGGCAGATGCTACTGAAAATCTTCTTTTTCCAAAATGAGAAAATATGAACTTAGGAATGTGTCACCGCGGCTTGATGATCGTAGTCGACCCCTATATTGAATCTCTGATACTGAATGAATCTGATCCCTCAGGTAGATTGGTGCATCTCCAGTAAAACAATCTCTTACAAGTAGAGCTAGTTTAAATTTTACTCTCTCTGGCATGCGAAGCCAGTGCAGTTCATCTTTAATGAATTGGTAGATAGGATCAAACCTTGATACGCCAGCAACCAGTCTAGCAGCAGCGTTCAAAACTGATTGAACATCATCTTGTAGCGAAAGGTTGATCCCATACATCATCACGTTACAAAAATCAAACCTGTTACAAATGAAACTGCAAACAAGAGCTTTTGTAGAGTCAACTTTTAAATATCGTCTGATGACTCTTAGTTTTTGAAGCTGGAAAAAACATTTCTTGCATAGTTTATTTACATGAGCCTTCATTGAAAGGTCTGGATCCAAAACCACACCTAGATTTGTCAATGGATCTTTGAACCCGTCAATTTGAAGGAGTTTATAAGGCGTTCCTAGCCACATGTATTGCGTTTTGTTGGTATTTAGCTTTAATTTATTTGCTGTCATCCATTCTCCTACTGCTTTTACAGCATCCGTGACAGTTGTAGAGAGTTAATAAGACAAGCTCGCAGACCCAGATCCGTATAGTTGAATGTCGTCAGCGTACAAATGGCAACGAGCACCTGATGATTCCACAACGCTGACTAAATCGGCAGTGTATAATATATATAACAGAGGGCCAAGGATGGAGCCCTGTGGAACACCGCAGGTAATTTCTGACGTAACTGTGTCTGCACCTTCCCCAACGTTGACAACCTGTATTCTGTTTGACAGATAGGACTGAAACCAGTTAAGTGCATCCTCTGTTACACCATATGAGACTGAGAGTCTTTCTAGCAGAATATCATGATCAACAGTATCGAAGGCAGCACTAACATCCAGCAGTGCAAGCATGGCTATATTGCCCATGTCAACTGCATCACATACATCAGAAACCACTTTGAGGATTGCCGTTTCGGTAGAGTGAGCTTGACGAAAACCTGATTGAACTTTTGGCAGTAATGAATTTTTGTTCAGGTATAAAAGAAGTTGACGAGCGACTATTCTTTCTATAATCTTTGATATAAATGTTAGATTCGATATCGGTCTATAGTTGTTGACAGCATCAGGTATGAGACCAGACTTTTTTAATTTAGGTCTTACTATAGCCGTTTTCTGAGATCTTGGCATGATTGACATATGGATGGAGCTGTTGACCAGGTGGCACAAAAATGGCAAGAGCAAGTCCAATTGTTCTTTTAGAAGAAATGTTGGGAGCGGATCAAGACTGCATGATTTCCCATTCGACGATTGAATTACCGAATTGTTGGCATTAATCGATTTAAAATTTGTTTTTTCAATTTTCTTACTAGAAGTTTCTAGAAAATGATCAATTTATTGAAAATAAAATTATTATCCGAGTTCATCAAGAAAATTTAATAAAACTATTGTTGTCCAAATTTATAACGCAGATAAGCCTTATTTCAATTTTTCCCAAATCATCTTCAGTGCAGGTTTGGTTTACATAGTTTTTTAAACAAAGCAAAGTTAGTTCTTTTGGTGTTCGATTCTTCATCTTTGTTGTTGTCATTCCTTTGTTCCTCATTGTTATTGTAGTAATAAGGCGTTGAGTTGGTAATGATGTAACTATTCTTTGTTAGATGTTTATTTGAGGTTTATTGATATCTATAACTTTTTCTGCAACTTTTAGATGTATTGTGTTTTGATAAATTATTATTGTGTTGTTGTCAAGAGTTTGGCAGGTTATTGAAGTTGCATGTGTTAATTATAAGTGAGATTAGATGGCCACTTTTTGTGTATGCATTGTGAGACGTCTTGATAGTGAAGTGGTTGTAACACCCATATACAAATGTTGTTGACGCGCACAGGACTAATGATCATAAGGAATGTTTAATGAACTGTTTTTCACTATGGGGACATGTCACAGTAGATATTTGTCACTAGTCCTGAACATTGTTGCGGTTGCGTTTGATGATGAGAACACTGAACCAGAAGAGCAGTGAGCGGGAAAGGAAAAGAATTGTATTCGTTTGGATAGGCTGGACACGTGTTTCGTCCCTACCGGGGACTCATCAGCAGCCCGAATACCTATCAGAATAGTTATCGCAGTTTCTTATAAAGCCCGCACAAATCAACTCCTTATTTCGTGGTGTTTTATTTATTAGTCTTTTTAATCGCTAGGATTTTCAATCCGACAACATACAACTCATGAATATGCCAGTTTCTCTGAACTTGTTTGTGAAGGTGAATTCATGCATATACATTTAAAATGTTCTATATTAACGGCAAATCTTTCCCTTGGCCTGGCTCCAAAAATTTTTAATATTCTGTGTGTGACACATCAATGAGATCTGTTGTTGTTGCCAAAAATCGGTTGATTGTTGTGCGAAGATTTTCGCTGTAGTTATTAGCCAAGCAGAAACTTTCTGTCGGTTTTTTCCAAAGATGAATTAGTTGAAATTCTGTTGGATTGTTGGGACAGTTGAAAAAAATGAAGACTGATGTTACATGTCAGGCAGACGTTTGGGTTGTTTTGGTTGATTTTGTTCTGGTAGTGGTTGAGGAAGTGACAATGGTCTGATATTAATTGTGCTTATAATCTTCATTTTTTTCTAGGTAGTGTTCGTTCTATTGGATTGCTAATAGTAGTTATTTTTTTCATTAATTAAAATTGGAGGTAATATTGCTTCTTTGACTGAGCTAGTGTGAAATTGTTTAATTGCTTGGCGGGGGGTCTCTGATAATTTGGGTGTGGATGAACTGTTGGATGGTGTTTTGGTATTTAGTGTGGAGGGTGTTTTTGGGTTGGGAGGTGATGTGGCAAGGATTTGTTGGGTCTTGACTTTGGATTAACAATTGTGATGAAAGCAAATTGGTATGTTGGATAATAGAAAGGATTTTGCATTCGTGGTGAAGATACTCTTGTGGAGTGATGCTGTGATAGTCTGTTTGAAATTCATTTTGGATTGTTTATAACTTTTGAAGGTATGTTTCTGAAGAATTTAGAAACTAGACTTTGCAAGCATATTCTATCACTGGTCTGGATATTGTTTTTTATGTTTGTATCAGTGTTTCTTTATCCTGATCCCAGTCTGTTCCAGATAATAGTTTAGGAATGTTATTCGGCAACTTTTTTTTATTGAAATTTGATGTTTCTTCTCTAACTGAGCCGGTGTGAAATCGTTTAACTGCTTGGCGGGTGGTCTCTCTGATCATTTGGGCATGGATGAACTGTTGAATGGTGTTTTGGAGGGTGTTTTTGGGTGGAAGGTGATGTGGCAAGAATGTGTATGAAAGAATAGTTTGAGAATGTTAATTCTTTTAGCAACTTTTATTAAAGAAATTTGATGATTGAACAAAAGGTGAACATTGTATCAAATGTTAGATTGAGGATTTTGGGGTTGTGTTCTAGAGGTAATATAGAATTTTAAATTTTTATTTGAAGATAAATATTGTATTAAGATGTATGAGGATCTGTTTGTGTATCACGATGACGTATATCCAACCTTGTATGCTACTGATGTTGGCATACGATTCTCCAACATGTGAAATGTGTAAACCTGGCAAGCAATGCTGCTCAATTAGTGGTTTTAGTTTAGAGCTATAGCTTTCTGATCAGGAACTTCCACAAAAAAGCACTTTTCCCTACTCTAAGTCCAACCCAGTGAGCAAACAATGCCAAACCATTTGAAATAATACCTACATGAACCTGGCAAGATATGATGCACAATTAGTGGTTTTAGTGTTACATTATTAGCTTTCTGATCAGAAAAGCACTTTTTCTCACTCCTACCCAGTGACCCAACATAAATAACAAATCAAAAATAAACCTAAAATAAATAAAAATATCATTGCAATAAAAATTTTACTTATATGCACTAAGTAGGAATTGGGGATTGTCTAATAATTAGGCAATAATAATATAATATTGTAATAATTAATATTAAATTGATAATAATCAAATAAAAAAGTAAAAAAGTAAATAGTAAAGTAAAGTAAAATAATCTCTAGTGTCTAGTCTAAATCAAACTTGTGACGCGTAACTGTGATTGTAACACTAATTGACTAATCTGTAATTGTAATGGCAATCGTAATTCTATGTAATGTATGTGTATTATTGTATTTGTATCATTAATTTAATTTAATTTTAATACAAGTATTGAAATCGATTACAATGTAATGTGTCATATTTTTTACTGTAATAACGTAAACTCATAAAAAACCTTTTCGGCAATATAGCCCTCAGAATACTCATTAAAAATGCTCAACAATATCTACGTTCAAATATTCATTTAAAAAATTTAATTTATCACGTACACGGAATGCAACGTCAACAACGTTTCACCATTGGTACAACTACGACGAAGAACGTTGAGCCGAAGTTTACGCATTTAATTTTAATTTTAACATACGAGATGATTTTTATTGCTTGCCACAAAAACTAGACCTATAAATTATGCGAGAAAAGATAGTGAAAAAAGAGTGTTTGCGAAAAAACTTATGACACCATTATAATATTGATTTTGTATTGAAAAACACTTGAAAAGGATAAAAATCGAAAAAAAATAATTAATGTAATTTTAATAATTTATCAAACGATTTGATTATATTTCCTCAAACCAGAGAGCCCGGATACTCATTCTTGAAAAAACCCGTAAATACGTATATGTATGTGAATATATATATATATATATATATATATATATATATATATATATCAAAAACTCAACACTACTTTCAACATTGTTCAACTTTTTTATATTTCTTTTTAATTTATTAATGTCAGAAAAATTAGACATTTTATTGTTTTAAAAATATTATTAAATAAGTTTGCAGATAGCTATTTCAAGTTATAATCTCGTCTTCAGTGCATTATATATAATGTATGTAAGATATTTGATAAGAAGGAGCAAGTAATTATTAATTTATATAAAATATTTAAAACAGAAAACGAATAAAATAAATTTAGTAACATTAAACAATTTAACCCATTAATGCCCAAATTTTTTAACTCAATCAAAATGATTTTTTTATTAGCATTGACATAAAATGTAAAAAACAATTATTCATCAAATTGAAAAAATAACAGTTTAAAAAAATGAGTTCAATGACTGCATCCTAATGAGGTGCAGTAGACATAAATGTGTACATCAATGTCAAAGTGCATTTAAATAATTAAAATTAAAATCATTAAGTTTCAATCATATGCCATATTTCAAAACAATGATCATGCAATCCTATATTACATTTTTTGCACCCTTTTCTTGTGTTTTTGTGGCAGTGAGCGCATCGCTTCTGAGTTTCCAATTGGCTTTGAAAATGGTCAATCCTGTCAGTTCTAACATCGATGCTGACTCTTTTGTTTGCCAAAGTTAATTTTCCTTTAGGACGCCCAGGTGTACTTTTTTGTAAATTGTACATTGATAAATAGTCAAGCACTACTTTTCTTCGGAAGGACAAAAAATCTAAATTTTCATCCTCGTCGTGTTTGTTTTTTTTTATAAAGATGCCAGCAGTTTTTGCATCACCATGTCTGGAATCCAGGCAAACAATGGCCACCACCATTTTTTACTTCTAAGTCCAATCCTATATGCTGCAATGTTTTGATCACATCGATCGACCCCTCCCATAAATTTATTGTATAACTTTACAACATGTGGCTGTTCAACTGATATTCTTGAACTGGTTTTTCGGCACCATCTAGAGGCTTGGCCTATTGGATCTGTTCCTAAATGGTTGGAGGCCATATAAACACTTCTGTTATCATTCCATCCACCAACAGTGTACAAATTATTTTTTTCCGTCATACATTCAAAATATCCCCTTTCTTTCTTTTCTAAATTTTTGAAAATGATAATGGGACATTTTCCCAATTTGTTGTATCTAATTACTCCTGTGCATTTAATTTTTTTTTCGTTCAATTTTTGTAACAGCCGAAAACTTGTAAAACAATTGTCAATATATAAGTTATATGGGACATTTTGTGGCAACTCTTCCATCAAATCTAGCACCACTTTTTCCCCCAAACCCCAGTTTGTGGCTGAACTTCTCACACTATGGGCAGTTCCTTTGGCTCCCTGATATGGATCAAACTGAACAACATAGCCATCAAATGTTACAAGAACCCAGATTTTGTAGCCCATTCGTATTGGTTTACCCATTATCCTTTGTTTTGTGCTGTGTCGCCCATAGTACGGAACCATAGACTCATCGATTGATAAATATTCTTCATTCAAGAAATACTCAAAACATTCGCTATTTATCATCGCATAAAAAGGTCGAATTTTTGACAATTTGTCAACTTTATCTAATTTGTCGTTATCACATAAATGAAGAACTGACATTAAGTCTTCAAATCGGTTTTTCGACATGCAGTTTGACATTGCTTTGTTGTGCGTATCAGGAGAGTTCTCCCAATAATTACGTCGTCTTGGTAGAGACGCATAACCTGACAAAGAAGCATAGCAAAAAAAATACAAATTTCTTCTAATGTGGTAGAAAAATTATGCTTTCCTTTATCTCTTCTTGTATATAACTCTGTCATGTCTTTAATGAAATTAATGACACTGTCATCAAAAAAGGCATTAAAAAGTTGAGTTGGTGTCAAATTAATATTCAATTTTCTCTCAAATGGTTTTGAACCAAAGTCTTTATCCGGTAAATTGCGTCTAACCCATTCACTTTTTATGAGTTCTGGTATTTCAGCTGATAGTAAAACATCATCTTTGAATAGTTTATCAACACTATCAACAATATCATCTTCATAGTTAATTCTAAAATCAGCCGGGGCAGTCAATTGTTGTGCACTAAGATTGTCAGCATTTGTGCTTTCTTCGTGACCACTATCTTCATCCGAACAATTACCAGAAGGAGGCAATAAAATTACATCATCATTCAAAAACGTTTCATCTTCCAACATTGATAAAACTTCATTGACTGTATATCTGTAAATATAAAAATAACGGAAAATAAAATGGAAAAAAAGAAATGAACTAATAAATGCATCTATATACACATTTGTGCCTACTTTAACCCTTTATAAGGTGCAGTAGGCACAAATGTGTATATGAGAAATGTGTATATGCAAATGAGAAACTTATGAGTTATGAGTTATTGAGAAACTAATAATACTTTGTGGAGAGCACTAAAATACTGGATTTTCAAACATTTTAGAAGTAGGAATAATTGTAATATAAATCATCAAAAGAATGAACATTAATTATTAATGTAAACATTAAAAAAACAAACTTTTTAGATGCCATTTTAGCACTCGCCATTATATCAACTTTTTTTTAACAAAATACGAAATTTCTGACAATCTACCGCGAACACCAACAAGAAATGAATTAATTACTTATTATAAATTGTAAACAACGCTAATATTATCAAAAACTGTAAATATTTTTTTAATTCTGAAGAGTTCTAAAGAAAATAATGACCGCACCCTATTAAGGTGCAATAGGCACTAATGGGTTAAAACGCGATTTTCAAAATTTTAACGGCTACAGTTACAGATTAATGATACAAACACAATAATACATACATTACATAGAATTACGATTGCCATTACAGTTACAGATTAGTGTTACAATCACAGTTACACGTTACAAGTTTGATTTAAAAATTATATTACTTTACTTTACTATTTACTTTTTTACTTTTTTATTTGATTATTATCAATTTAATATTAATTATTACAATATTATATTATTATTGCTTAATTATTAGGCAATCCCCAATTCCTACTTAGTGCATATAAGTAAAATTTTTATTGCAATGATATTTTTATTTATTTTAGGTTTATTTTTGATTTATTATTTATTTTATGTCACTGTTGCGGATATATTGGAATGACAACTACCACATTGTCAAGACGTTTGACCATGCATCTACAAGATGGAGCAATTAAACAACATTATCAACAACAGCATAACATCACTTTAAAACAACAAATGTTAAATAACACGGAAATAGTTTATTGCAATAACAACATCACAAACCTGAAAATAGCTGAATCAATTTTCATACAAAACAAAAATCCCTCCATGAACATTCAGGTACAGTCAAACAGCATTCTACCTTCAAATAGACTACTAAATAAAAACAACAATCATTATAATTATAACAACAACTGTTACGACAACAGCAATAACGATAACAATGTTATCACCAACAACAGTGATGATGTAAACAACAATCATACCAATAGTGACAACGTTAACAACAACATCAACAACACCAACAACAACATCAACAACAACAACAACATCAACAATAACAACAACAAGTGCCAACACTGTAGATGATACCAACGCCACAACCCACAGCGCAAATATCAGTTGCAATTGGAACATCACCAATAGTGACAACCTTAACAACAACATCAACAACAACAGCATCAACAATAACAACGACAACAACAACAGTGCCAAGTAGATACCAACGCCACAACCCACAGCGCAAATATCACTTGCAATTAGAACATCATTACACGAAGCAAGAAGAACCACAGCGATGATAATAATAATAATAATAATGTAAACTCTTTTATTATTCAGAGAAAACCAGTAAAATCAAAAATAATCAAAATAAAATATGTCAATAAAATGTTAAAATTAGTTAAATATAATTAAAATGATACAATAATATGAATAGTCATCAACGCTCGTTATCCTGAAATAAGTGCCATGATGATAGCTTGTATAAAAATTGGTAACAGTTTGTTCACGCATTGTTTCTATCGCAGTACAAAGCATAAAATGACGATATTACACTATTGATTAAGCTATATCGAAAATTATCAGTCCAATTTATATCGATTAGAGACAGAATAAAAGGATTATAAAAGCCTATAGGCGATATTTCAAAAGTTTTAATTAAAATATTGAAATGTTTAAAATCATCTACAATGTTATTTTTCAAATTATTTAAATATTTATTCATTTTATATTGTTTTGATTTCATAAAGTTTGTTTCATGGCACACGGTCAGTTCGAGTATTTCAATAGTATCTTTGTTACAGACTGCGATGTCGGGTCGGAGTGATTTGAACAGATCCGTTACTGGACGCACCAAATCTTTTTCCACGTCTGCAAATATTTCGATACCCGGCCTTGCATTTGCTTTTATGTTATCAATAATTATTGTGAGAATTTGGTTGTGGCGGTTTAAATGTCTGCTCAGTGCAGAGGCGGAGCCACAATTTGATAGGACATGTTTGTTTGTTTGTACAGCATTACAAAGCAAAAATGATGCTTCAGTAGATTTACCCCACCTGAAGAGGTTAGCATTAGTAGGTAGCTGTTGAATAAGATATTTTCTGGTGAATTTATAGAGGACCTCTGATAGTTTTACAGTTACAGTTATTATTATTACATGATAATAATAACGTTAACAATAATAATAACGTTTTTAAATATTGTAAAAATAATATTAATAATATGTAGTTAATTAAATAAATTAATTCGCGCTTCTCGGCTGAGCGTTGATATTTACCTCAACAATGATAATATAAACAATCTTGCCGTTAAAATTTTGAGAATCGCGTTTTATATTGTTTAATGTTATTAAATTTATTTTATTCGTTTTCTGTTTTAAATAATTTATATAAATTAATAATTAATATGTAGTTAATTAAATTATTTAAAACAGAATTACCGGTTGAACCACCCTGTTTAGTTCTAGAAGTTCACTGTGCCGTGGGGTTCTATATATATATATATATATATATATATATATATATATATATATATATATATATATATATATATATCTACACACAACTTAAGCCAAGATGAAATTTCATTTTTGAACCTCGGTTTAAACATGCACATACGTCGACCATACAGTAAAGCTATTAAGGAAACTGAACTTGAAATGCTGTACAACGAGTGTCAGAAACTCAAAAAACAGAATTTAATTAATTTCGACAGTAGTTTGCATAGCCAACTATTGGCCGAAGCACATCGCCATCGCGACGCATGTCATAAACCTGCTCTGTCGACAGAAATGCTCCAGGCTGCCAAACGCCTCCGTAGCAATCCCGACATAGTTGTGCGAAAGTCTGACAAGTCCAATATGTATGTGTTGATCAACAAAATTGATTATTATACGCAAATAGTTTGAGCATTGATTCATCAACTTTGTAGTTGTCATGCATTTGATTGAGATAATATAGAGGTATAATTGTTTTTGTCGAGGTTGGAGTTATAAGATTATTTGTTTTGTTGATATAATGTTTTATGGTATTATGAAATTGACTTTGTGAAAATTAACTTAGATGGAAATTAGGTGTCAGGTTTTTTATTGGCTGGTCATCTTCTTTGGTCTCCTTTTCTTTATCGATAGCATCATATTTTTCTTTGTCACTATTTACAATGCTAGTTTTTATTACATCTTTGTTTTCATTGTTGGTTAAGCGCCGGGTTGGAGGGAAGGTTGTCATTTTATGTTGTATATTTATTTTTGGCTTATTGATGTCAATTAGGACTGCTTCTGCAATTTTAAGATGCGTGTAGTTGCTGTTCTGGTATATTACTTTGGTGTTGCTGTCGAGGATTTCACGGCTAATAGTGATTGAGTGTGTTGAGTCCAAATGAGATTTGATAGCACCACTCTGTTTATCGCTGACCTCCAAACTTATCTATTTGCAATGAACGATTGTAATTGATTGTATCATATCGTTTATAAGTAGAATGTACATTTTTTCACTTTTCATTTATTTTTTTTTCTTCTTTCGATAGCGCTTGTGAAAGATATTTATTTTAATGGGTGCTTTATAAGTGTTTGTTAATGATATATATATATATATATATATATATATATATATATATATTATATATATATATATATAATTTGGTATGAGGTTCTCAGATAAACATGTACGGTTGAAGATTACACCCCATTTTGCAGTTAGAAGTTTTTTAAATAAAATTTCAACAACACGAAGCTGTTTTGTTTCAACTTTATTAAACTGTAAAGTTTGGCTGACGGCCGTTTCGGCTAATGCCATCGTCGGAGCCTAGATTGTAAAACCAAATGAGGAGTTAATAATATAAATTATAAGAAATAGTAAATAGAATATTAGATATTAAAATGAATAAATAAATTTTTACTAACATACCAGTCCTGCAAACT